GGCTTTTTGGCTTCTGTTCCGAAGAAGAAGGCTGACCGTTTTAAATACAGGTATAGCGTATATATTTGATGCACTATACCTATTTGTCTTTTCAACTTCAAGTATAACGTATCTAATATATGCGCTACATTTGTACTTTGACCGCCTTTTGAAAATCAGGTATAACATATGTATTTCATGCGCTATACCTTAACGACACGTTAGCGCATGTAATTCATGCGTTATACATAAAATGATCACCAATTATTTTTTCACCTATTTTTATACTTTGAGTCCAAAAAAAAATAACAATTTGATTGCCTCAATTATATTACGTGAATACTTTTTATTTTTTTAATTTTAACCTTCACCTTTTAGGAACTTTGAAACAAAATTTTTGGAGGATAACACTTTTATCATTTAGTTTTTTTATGGTATAACTAATTCTTATAAATAAAAGCTCACCAAACATAAATTAAATAACTTCACATATCCCCTAATTATTTTCTCTTTCCATGAACAAGTAACGAGCCCTTAAATTATAAAAATATTTACAAATTTGATCCAAAGTTAGTATTTCCATGTAAAACTAACGGTGCAAAAAAATAATGCGCATAGCAACATAGCCATCGCCCATCCTCCCGTCGATGACATGCTCATTCCCAAATCTGGAAATACTAACTGTGGACCAAACTTGTTCACTTTTTGATACTTTAAGGATGTAATTGACCTTTAGGCATACTTTAGGATGCTTTCTGTTAAAACTCGTCGAAAGTCTTTTGAAATTTTCAGGTGGTGTTGCTACCGGCAGTAATTGATGTTCAGAAACTGCAAAGAGAGTTGTTTGAAATTTCTTCTCATTTCTTGCTCGATAGCCATCTGGTTAAGGCTATTGATTATTTTTGACCCATTTTTTCTGCTCCATTGAAACAGAGTTCATTGTATTTAAGGTATTTATTCTTTCCAGTTATGGGTTATTCTTGTGTGCCAATAGGTGATTTTGTGTTTAGAATTTTGTATTTTCATATGCATTGATCATTTTATGCATTTTATATGTTCTCATCAGAATAAATAATTTAGAATAACGGATTTCAAACAGCGATTTCATATTTGCACTGTGTCATTTCAGCTTGAATAGAAAGAATGCTTATTGTAAAGGAAGATGCTATTCTTTTGTACTTTATAAAAGCGTTCGATATCTGCGAAGTATTTGTCTGATACTTTTTAGGTCAAAAATATACTTACTATTCTTCAAAAAATTCTTAATTTTTCTCGAAAAATGCTTTCTTTTGTTCGAAAAATGCTTCAGATATCAGGTTTAAACTGTTGGATTAGATGTGGAGCATCAAAGATAAATTATCAACAAGGTTAATGAATGTTTGCGTGGCATCTCTTTGTAAAGCCAAACAATTGGAGAAAGCTGAAGCTGTTATAGTTGATGGCATAAGAATTGGAGTACAACCAGATGTTGTCACTTACAACACATTGATTGCTGCATATTGCCGCTTTGTTGGCATAGATGCTGGTTATTCCGTTCTTCATAGGATGAAGGAGGCTGGAATTAACCCTAATGTTATTACATATAACTCTTTGATTGCTGGAGCTACAAGATATTGCCTGTTATCTCCATGTCTCGATCTGTTTGATGAAATGCTTGAGATGAGTATTCTTCCTGATATTTGGAGTTACAACACATTAATGCATTGCTTCTTTAAAGTGGGAAAGCCAGATGAAGCGTACAGGGTTTTTCAAGATATTCTTTTAAAAGATATTTCTGTTCATCCTGCAACATTCAATATTCTAATTAACGGTCTTTGTATGAATGGATATACGGAGAATGCCCTAATGTTATTTAGGAGCTTAAAGCGTCATGGATTTATCCCTCAGTTAGTAACTTACAACATTCTTATTCATGGGTTGTGCAAGTCAAGACGAGGAAAAGCTGCAAGAGAGTTCCTCACCGAATTGGTCGAATGGGGTCATATCCCGAATGCCATCACTTATACGACAATAATGAAATGTTGCTTCAGATGTAAACAATTTGAAGAAGGCCTTAAAATTTTTGTGGAGATGAGAAGGAAAGGATATACGTATGATGCCTTTGCTTACTGTACAGTCGCAAGTATGTTACTTAAAACTGGGAGGATAACTGAGGCCCGCGAGTACCTGGGCTATATTATTACAAGTGGCTTTAGCCTTGATACTGTGTCTTTTAATACCATTGTTAATCTATATTGTAAGGAAGGTCAGCTGGATAATGCTTATAGGTTGTTATACGAGGCAGAAAAAGAAGGTTTGGAATCTGACAAGTACACCCATGCTATCTTGATTGATGGCTTGTGCAGGACTGGCAATTTCAAAGAGGCCCTGCAACATTTGAACGGTATGAGTATGATGGGTTTTGATTCTAACTTGGTCGCATGGAATTCTTTTATCAATGGGTTGTGTAAAGCTGGTCACTTTGATCATGCTTTGCAGATGTTTGAGTCAATGGATGTGAAAGATTCTGTTACTTACTCTACCATAGTGCACGGTCTTTGCAAAGCTGGGAGGTTTCGTGCTGCATCTAAGTTACTACTATCGTGTATTAGAGGTGGCATGAGAATTCTTAAATCAGACAAACGATTTGTTGTTGATGGTCTTCGTAGTTCTGGACTTTCGCAGGAAGCAAGGAAGGTCCAGTCTAAAATTCGATTGGCTAAGATACTGCATTATTAATAAGGAATGGTGATCAACTCTGTCACTGAAGTTTTAACTTTATTTGATTGGCTAAGGTTCTGCATTATAATGATTTGTGGAAGCTGAAAAACCTTAGAATTTAAAGTGGCTTTAAAGTTTAAACATCTGCATCTTGTGCTGGCAAGAGCCAAGAATTCATCTTCCAAATTGGAATTTCCCATATCTCCCGCCAAAGCTTGTGAATTTGTGATTCGAAATTGTCAGTATGGGAAGCTGAACTGAAAAACACCTCCATTCTATTCCCTCAAATTTTTCTACGTTGGCTTTAGTACCGCAGGTTTTGTTCCTAAATTCAACTTGAGATGTTGTTCTATTTTCTCCGTCCAATTTCACTAATAAACCCTTATACTAAGTTAGGGTTATCAAGACTACTTTTTTTCTTTTCAGTTTTACTGTTTTTTTTCTAATTTTTTGAAATTTGGTTTCAGATAGAGACGCTCTATGTGAAGCTCTACAGCAAATATACGAAGATCAAGGTTTTTGGGTTTTTCCTTAACCATTTCTGTTTATTTTTATTGCTGCTGAGTGAAAAAAGTTAGTGTCTTTCCTGTTTACTATTATTGATTTGCGAGACCTTAAAATTTCAGTTGATGAATCTTTAGTTCATGGTCTAAAACATTGCTTGTTCTAGTTCTACAGATTGCATGGCCATGTTGATAGGTGGTCTATCCATGTTTAGAGGGTTCTTTCTAATCTCATCCTATTGCATGAGTAGATACTAGAGGCATTTGATTCAATGGATACACCTAATAAAACACATTATGCAATTACTTGCTGTTAGTTTACAGCATGTATATAGTGTAGTATTGTCCCACATTGGTAGAAGAGTAGTATGTC